TGCTCCTACAAATAACATCAGAGTGAGCAGAAAAAGATAGTTTGAAAAATGTGTCGATTGGTCTGAAGCCGGTCTCTAATAATAGTCTTTCACATAATTCTGTAATCGAAGAAATAACAAAAAAAATTATCTGTTTCGCATCATCGAAAATTAAGTGTACAGAATTTCATTCATTTTGAAACCAAAGGGTATATATATAAAAATAGACTTTTAATGTAACTTGTAGAGCTTTTCATACTGCAGCTTATGGCAAATTTGTTTTTAAAAAATAAACGTATTAGATGCTAAAAAGAGGAACACATAAAGCCAACCATTGATTATGGGACACTCTTTATATACAATCGGTGTACATCTCGTTCACTTTTGTTTTTATGTGCTTTTTTCTTTTCGTTTTTGCTCTATTGTAGATTTTTTAACACATACTCTTTGTTGTTTTTTTTCCTCTGTTGTTGATTGTAATACTACTCTATTAATAAGTATTCAGAAAACAAAAGCTTTTTTTTATCGATTTACTTTATATATATATGATTTTGAACTTTATATGAGAGAGAAATGAGACATTAAGGACAAAAGTTTGATATGAGTAGAAAAAAATTGATATTTTGTTTTTGAAAATCGAACAAAAACAAGGATGTCCATACGATTTCTTTTATTTTAACTTTTCGGCTTTATTCAGATAATGAGTGTAATGTAGTGAACAAAATATTGAAAATGGTGATGAGAATAATAATAATGATACAAATGATTCAACTACGAAAGAAAATTTTCTTGATGTTGTGTTTAAATCTGATCGACAAGCATAAGGTTCAAAACATACACATTACAACAGCTACAATGGATATTGATATTAATAAGCAACATGATCAAATAACTATTTTTGAACGTCCAAAACAAATTAATAAAGAATTGAAACAGAAAGCAGATAATAATAATATTTATTATGATATTAATAATTATCAACAAGTTTATGAAAAAAATGCTGCACAAGAAAATGCAAGTAGTGATCTTGTTTGAAATAAAGGTTAGATCAATTTATTTATATTTTCATGTGATTACATTTTACTTGATTGTTTATTTTCTGTTTAGGTCCGATGTGTGCACCAGCTCATCACTCGTGTATATGTTGATTGGGACTATCAACTTGATATTTGTAAAGATAAAAAGCAAACAGGTTTTAAATTGTTGTGCTTTTGGTGATAGTTATAAATTTTTACATTATCATGTCTGATTACAAACATGGCTGACAAGTTGAATAAGAGTAGAATGAATAATCTTATGAAACCGTCAAATATAATAGTTCACGATATTTTGTTGCTAATAAAAGTACTCGTGATATAAGTCATTCTCAGGGTCATCTTCATCATGAAGCGGAATCAAATGAATACCTGTTAGGATCCATGCTGGGACAGACATGGAAAACTATGAACTAATTGAATTCTATAAGTTTAGACAAAGCTCAGCAATATATGTCGTAATTCGTCGAGAGAAAGACTGGTGTATTCAGAGGCTAAATGAACGAATAAATTAAGGTGCATAGTAGGCTAATATGATCGTTGAACCGATGTAGTGAACAATAAAATAATATTTGCCATTTTTTATAATATATATCATACATATTATCATGAATACAAAAGAAGTTATATATTAAAGACATATCTGGTCATGTTCTTGAAATCGTTAAAAGATTGGTGATTAATTGTAATAAATTAAAACTTCTATTAATGAACATTCGTCCCAAGTGAACATCTTCTTACTCTGAAGAGAGAAAAAAGACACTTGTTTGCAAGTCCTTAAGCTATTATAACCTCTAATGTGAACATGTTTTTTTGATCTTTTTCTCTTTCCTACCACTTGCTTCGTATATACTGCAAGTAAATATATTTTGCGCATGATTCGACTGCTGTACGTGTAAAGCAAAGAATGATATCTCAATATGAGCTTACTTTGTAAGAAAAAATGCTATTAATTCATAATCCTAAAAAATGGTAATGGTTTATCACAGTTTAAATTTAATGAAAAATAAAAATATATCATTCAGCTCTACGTCAACAATTTTAAAATATAAATCAGAATCAAAACATTAGACAAAATCTCAATGAAAAAACAATTAAGTTTTGCATTGCATTTGAAATATCGTTCAATTCAAATCATTCAGATAAAAATACATGAAGAAAATAATGGAGAAGTTGTACAGAATACCAAAACGATAATTTGTAGGTAAAACGTGACAAATCGCCGATATTTTTCGATAACTCTGACAATGTTTGTGATCGATTAATATCCTTTATTACATCCGTAATAGAATCGTCTTCGTTAATAAATTAAATATCCAGAAATAATAATGAAAAAGCAGAATTAAAAAAAAAAGATTTCTACAGAAGATGTCATCTTAAAGAACAAAGCAAAGTTTTCAACCTAATATTAATTTAGAATTAAATGACTCATCTAAAAATGAATTTACAATAGAAATATGCTAACTAAAAAATTACTTGATTTGAAAAACGTATTAGAAGTTATGTATATTATCAAAAACATCTTTTGAAACAAATGCATATGCCCGTGAAGTTACGTTTGATTGCTTTTTTTAAAATTATTTCTTCTCCTTAATGTCACAATAGTGACATCCATGTCAAAGCTAAATCTAATTCTTAATTTCAAGTCTCTATAATTATATATAAAAAAAATTGTAGATATTCTGTTTTACTCTCAATTTTACATATCTACGAATATTTCTCAAAATAACTTACAATGTGCAATTAATTATTAAAATCGATGATTTAAGTATAATTTATCTTAGGTTTTTGAAAAATCCTTTCTTGTTGCATAATCACATTTTTCACGACATGGGGAACATCAGAAAAACATTTTTTGAGTATAATGGTGTTAAATGAGTGAAATTAATTGATAGAATAGATTTTATAAATATAAACATTCTTTAAATGACAATAGTTCACAGCGAGGCTATAGATTATAAAAATAGGTTTAATTTTGATTTATTCATTATTTCCACATTTTAGCCCATTATGGGGCCGCATTCATAGGCTATTTTTGAATATACAATTAGTACATTTGAATAGATAATACATCATTAGCACTTATGTGTTAGACATTAAGATCGTTGCTTATCATAAAAAAAACTAATGCTTCTTTTTCTAAAAAAAGCATAATCATGCGATTATTTTCCAACTTTTTAACTTACTTATTACGCTTTTTATATTAAAGTTGAGCTAACTGCTAATAGAATCAAAGTTTCGTTATGGAATTCAATATTACCAATTCATCATGGAATGTTACTGATGATATAAGTAGTTCAATAACATCAATACTTGAACAAAAAATCAAGTTCTATATACTTGTTATTCTACAAGGTC